GAACCCAGTGAGGGGCTTGAACTCACAAACTGTGAGGACCTGAGCCAAAATCAAGAGTCAGACCCTTAAGCTACTGAGCCACCCAGGCACCCCTAAACTCGCTGTTTAAAATTTAACCATAGTTATTTCACTGTTTGAAGTAGTATTAAACATGATTCAGTAACATTGGTGTATGGACATTCTTGAGGAGTTGATAGAAGGTAGCAAGGTGGGGAGAGATACAAACAGGAATTTGTGTCATGAATGATAAATGTACAGTGATGCTTCTGAACCCACAGATATATAGCATTTACTTTAAGATTAATTCAGACTATCAATTTCTAGAATGATTTTTTTCCCACTGTGACTTGCAAGGATATATTTACTATATGGTCATGGATCATTGTAAATGGAATTAAAAATCAGCTCTCTACATTGTTTTTGTCTGTTGATATTACAAATAAAAGTATAAAATCTATCCCTATTATCACTTTTTAAATTTCACTTCTATTGACGGCATTCTTGGCTCTAATTAAGTTATTATTCTGTCATAATGGTGCATTGGGATTCACAATATCTTAAAAACTCCGGCAGTACAGTGGGAAACCTTGCTTTTTGAAATCTCTTATCTCTCTTCCTCTATTTGAGGGTTTCAGATGGTGTGGCAGAATTAAAATGTCATTTCTGTGGGTTTATTCAGTCCTGTAGGCAAGGACAGGCGTGCCATTTGCTTACAGGGAGTACCCGAGCGGGAGCTGCATTGTGTGGCCTGGGAACCCCACAGCTGCTCATCGTCCCACTGTGCTAGTCCGTCAGTGCCATGTGTTTTCTGATTGAAGAAAGGCTACAGCGTTATGTCTGCCACCAGGATCTTTTAGTAATGATTAAAAACTACTGACCTCCTTTCCTCCTGTTTCATTAAATTTTTTTTCTTATGACTCTAAAGTTGAGAGATCTAACATGCTCCTGCCAAATAGAGTGCTAAAGCAGTCATTGGCGCAAAAATTTAAAATTTTCAAGCACAAAACAAATAAAAGCAAATTTACTACAAGAATTTCTTTTATAGGGAGTCTTTTCCGCTTACAAATATATGCTTCTTCACTTGCTTGAATTTGAGCTATCACCAAATTAATGATACTACATTTTTATTCTTAAAGATATATCACTAATACATTATTGGCTAGGATTATTTTAAAGGCAGAATATATCTGTAACTTAAACTATGAGTGTTTTGCATTCTTATTTTTGAAAGAAGTTTATGGTAGAGATTTGAAATAGTTGAACCTTGACATTGCTAATTGATTAATGCACTGCAGTTGTTAGCAGCGCCCTGGCCAAAGTCTTTTTTTTTTTTTTTTTTTTTTTTTTTAAGTCCTAAATGGTTCAGAGCACAACTATTAACAATGAGAGGCTGTAAATGGACCTAAACCCATTTATTTTACGCAACTTGATGAATTACTTATTAATTAGCTCCTTTAGCAGTTTAGAGAATATAAATTTTGTGGCTAAGGTACAGTAAAAAAGCAAATGTCTAGTAGTTTAAAAGTCAATAATTAAAACAACCTCATTGTTTTTATTTTGTAAGAATTTGATGTTATAGCTTACATTTTAGAAAGTGAAAAAGCTCATTAAATCATATTGAAAGTCATGTTCGAATTATTAAAATATTGAAATTGTAAAATAACTGTATGGACATAATTGGAATTGGAGTTCTTTATCTTTGCTAGTTAGAGAGGATTTTTACAGTTATGCTAAATATTTAGTATTTAGCATGAAGCATGATATTTATTGAAATCTTTAAGTTCTTCCTCCTGAGAATGGAATTTACACCATTTGCTTATAATAGTTCAATAAATTCTATTTTGAAGGTATAAAAGTCAACTTTAGCTCAGATAATATCAGAATTGCATCAGTTTTCAAATTAATTGAGTCTGGATTGGAGATTATTTCAGTATTTCTAGCTTCTGGGATACATTTTTAATTTTGTTTTTTTTTTCACATAGATTTCGAGACATTATGGCATGGTATGGATTGCTGCATGTTTACTTTTATACCCTACTTTGTATATATTTAAGTTTTTGAATCTTGCATCAACTTTCAAAATATACTTGAAGAGAATAGTGAGAAGTTCTAGGAAATATAATGTACTGATCATAAGCCAGTTAATAAACAAAACTCAGTTTCATAATTATGGGGGGAAGGTGTTAAAGCTTACCATTACCATAAAATGTATCTTACATACAGAAGAATGTATACAGATGTATATACAATTTAAAACATAATTTAAAGAAAAGTCATTTATCACTAGCACTCCTCACTACCACACCCAGAGTTTTAAAAAATAGAATGTTTTTAGTACCATAGAAGCTACCTGTTCCTTGTTTTCAAACATGGCTTCCTCATCAGGGGTAACCACTTTTTTTTTTTTACTTTTATGGTAATCATTTCATTGCCTTTTCTTATAATTTTGAGAGCATACCTATGTATGCTCAAACAATAAATAGTTGAGTTTTGCATAACTGGGTAGCAAGCACAAACCTATTACCATTGTTGGATGAAGGCTCCCAAAAGAAGAGGGATTGAGAGAGAGTCTGGAACTTTGTCTGACTTAGTCTTCCCAGAATTTCTAAGAGAGCCCTTTCTGGGGAGGTCCGTGGGCAAGATTATGAATGTATTCTGAGCCACACTTGTCAAAGTTGAAGCAACTGGCAGAGATAGAGGAGAGACCAGGCGTTAGCTGTCTTCCAGAAAGGTTAAAGGCTGCTCTGTATTTTCTGTGTCTAAGCTTGTCATGGCCCACCTCTTTGCTCTCAAGAATAGGTCAGAGCAGAACAACTCTAGGGGTACTGTGTATCCTCTGCTGATCCACCACTTAGCATGGCATGGAGAATAAGGACATTAGCAGCTCATTCCCCATGTATTCTGTTCTCAGATTTAAAGCATGGTACAACAGAGCGGTCTTGATGTTGACAGCATGTCTGTCTTCCTAACTCTCACCGCTTCTCACTGGATTGGTTGTCTCCCACATTTGATGTACAAGCATCATTCTAGAATTCCATCTAACTGTGCTCCTGGGAATTCTCTTGCCTCTCTTGTTTCTTTAATTTGAGTGAGTGAGAGAGAGTGAGCGAGCGAGCGCAAGCAGGATAGAGGGGCAGAGAGAGAATCCCAAACAGCTCAGAGCCATCAGCATGGAGCCTGTCTCGGGCTCCATTCTATCAACAGTGAGATCATGACCGAAATCAAGAGTCAGAGGCTTAACCGACTGAGCCACCTGCCACCCCTCTCTTGCCTCTCTTGTGTGTTGGCCTTCTTGTGGTCTGTAAGCTTTGTTGTCTTTCTTATTTATGCTCTCATTTGGTGGTGTGTGTGAGTGTGAGTGCGTGCGTGTGCACACGCGCACACACGTATTTTTTTTCTTTATTTTTTTAAAGTTTATTTACTTTGAGAGAGACTGAGAGAGTGTGCATACAAGCAGGGGAGAGTTGGAGACAGAGGGAGAGAGAATCCCAAGCAGCTTTTTCCTATCAGTGTGGAGACTGACATGGGGCTCTGTAGTACAAACCATGAGATCATGGCTGAGCGGAGACCAAAGTTGGACACTCACCTGACTATGCCATATCCTTTTTTTAATTTAATATGTGTTCAGTTTTTTTTCTAAATTTGTGAGTTGGCTGCCTAATTCATTTGTCTTTATTCTTTTTAATTGACTTAAATGTTTAAGGCTGTGAATTTTCTTCTGAACAGTAGAAAGTATCTGGATTCTGATATGTAGTATTTATTTAATTCTCTGGTAGATCTGCAGTTTGAATTTTATTTCTCTTTGATATAATACTTTTTTAAATAGCAGAATTAGTTATCATTTTAATGCCAGGAAGTCCAGGTTAAACAGTGCCTTCAAACATGAAAACCTGTGATTAAGATTTTATTTAAAAAAAAAAATTTCTGAAGGATAATTAACCAGCTTTCCTCTCAGTGCACTTTTAACTTTTTTTTTTAATGTTTATTTATTTTTGAGAGAGAGAAAGAGAATGCGAGCAAAGGAGGAGCAGAGAGGGAGCCAGCTCCAGGCTCCGAGCTGTCAGCCTAGAGTCCAAGACAGGGCTTGAACATACAAACCGTGAGATGACCTGAACCGAAGTCAGACACTTAACCGACTGAGCCACCCAGGTGCCCCCTCACCCTACTTTTAAACTGCGAATTGGAGAAGATTAAATTCATCCACTGATTAGGAACATAATTAGCATAAAAGATGATAATTTATTACTCAAATCTTTATTCTTGGAATCTGGTTTTATTTCATTCTGAAAGTTCTCTGTGACATTGGATCTTTCCTAAAACATACATAGAGGTATTGAAATATAAATCTTGTCATTTCCTAAGAGCTGCTAAAGTCTTTAATACTGTCATTACTGACAACTGAATTCAAATAAAATGATAACTAATTAAGATCTGAGGTAATCTTGCTGTGGAAACTATTTGATGTTCTGGATTTTGCACATATATGTATATAAATAAAATAATCTACATGAATGTCATAGTGATCAGTTTAATAGCTTCTCTTTTTAAAATTTTTTAAAAAAATATTTAGTTTTGAGAGAGAGAGAGGGAAAGACAGAATGTGAGCGGGAGAGGGGCAGAGAGCGAGGGAGACACAGAATCTGAAGCAGGCTTCAGGCTCTGAGCTGTCAGCACAGAGCCTGATGCGGGACTCAAACCCACAAACCGTGAAATCATGACCTGAGTCATAGTTGGATGCTTAACCAACTGAGCCCCTCAGGTGCCCCCCCCCCGCCTTTTAAAAATATTTTTTAAAATGTTGATAGCTTTGTATATATTAAGATTTTCTTTAATAGATAGGAAATTTCATGTAGTCTCTTTTTTACTTTTTGTCCTGATTCAAGTGATAACATTATTTTAGGGACGGAGTGACAGAGTGGGAAAAAGAAGGGAAAAGAGGGAAAACTTACTCTCTAAGAATACAGTCAAGTATAGATTCTCATTAAATTCTTATTTTATAGAGAATACAAGCTGGCATCCTAAAAGCATTTAACAACCCAACTACTAAAACTGCTGATGATGATACTAGAAAAAAAGTCAAAGGTATGTCAACTTTTTCACTGTTAAAACTTTCTCCTTGAAGAAAAATTTAAGTTTCTTTTTAAAGGAAAAAGTACTGAGCATTACGTGAAGTAATTCTGTAAAGTAGTGGCCTTAAAAGAGAATGTACTTACTCCAGTGTCTGCGAGATAGTCTAATGGGTCATAGAAAGAATATGTTAGAATGTGTCCATGGGAACTTTAAAAACTAAAATTAATGATCAAGTGTATAGATTGACACTGATAACTTTATTTGAGGTATCCTAATGGAGACTTTAAAGGTGGTTGAAAGTAGCAACCTAACTTGGAAGTTCACTTTCATCATATTGTATCATTTTGCAGTTGACCTATGCTTGCATAAGTGGATTTATGAATATTATATAGTTTTAATGAGTCAAAGTGCTTAAGTGTTCCAAAGATTCCTGCAAGGAATCCATTTATTGACGAAAATAGTGATTCAAACATACATGTCTACTTTACTCCTAGTGTCGACTCTTCATCAGCCAAAGTATTAGCAAAGCTAGTGATTACCTAATCAAAGTTGATCATTAATAATTATCAGTATTTAAGTGTGGGCTTATATGTCATGTTACGAGCAATTTACCTTGTCCTAACTGTATATTCTGCCTTCAGATATTAACTAATGGTAGTATGAAGTCATCATGTTTAGAAAATGTTGAAAAATATCATTTGTAGTTTACTTATTCTCTTTTATTATTTATTCTTTTGTAGTATTTGTACATAGTGCATGTCTATAATTCATAAACAAATATACACACATTGTGATGTACATGTCCAAACTATGTGCAGTTAGGGTTCAAGTTTTTTTTTAATTGAAGTATAATTGACACACAATGTTAAATTAGTTTCATGTGAAAGGGTCAAGATTTTTTAATGTGGATTCTCAAGTATGCTTTTTTTTTTGTTTGAGATAGTGCCATCTAGTGCCTATTGAGAATAACTGCTCAGTTTTTCTTTCCAGCTTTGTATACTCTTCCATTTTCAATCCCTTGTACAAGTTTTTCTTTCTTTTTTAAATGTTTTTATTTATTTTTGAGAAAAAGAGAGCATGAGTGGGGTAGGGGCAGAGAGTGAGGGAGACAGAAGATCCAAAACAGGCTCTGTGCTGAGAACGGAGAGCCCAATGTGGAGCTTGAACTCATGAACCGTGAGATGACCTGAGCTGAAGGCGGACACTTGACCGACCAAGCCACCCAGGCGTCACCTGTACTTAATGAATCATCTTAGCTTATCATACCTTCTAAATGGTTATCATCATATTAATAAACATTTATTGACCTATCTAGCTATAAGTTGGCTCTGTCATTCACTGCTTCAAGTAATGTTTTAAAATGATTTTAAATGTTGGTATGAAATTTGAACTGAGAGATCCAAAAAAGATAGAAGATTGAAAGAGGAGTGAGGTTTGTTGATATATGTTTTCATCATGAGTAACGATGGAGAGTTTCAAACTTTTATTAAAGTAGAGAGACTAAGATGATGAAGCCTCATGTACCCATCACCCCACTTAAACTACATTGAATGTGTGGTATATTATGTTTTATCTATGTTCTCCCAACCCCGGATTATTTTGAAGGAAATCATAGGCATAATTTTATTTGATTTAGGGAATATTTCCCAAACAGAATACTTTTATCACTTTTTTATATGTAACTGAGCAGTTTACATATATAACTGAGTTATTAATTGCCCAGGTTAATTCTTTACACTATGCTGTGTTTACTTATCTACCCTATTGTTTCCATAGTTACGGTCCAGGCATGTGTAACTCTGAAAACATCATCTTCTTTCTCATCCCTTTGTTTACCTTTACATTAGGCACAGAGGCTTTAAAGGGCTTCATGGGAACAGTTGAGATATGATATGAACAGTGGTTGTTGTTTACTTATTTTGCCTCAAGTTTAAGAATAGTCTATTATTTCTTGGAGACTACTGTAGTTAATAGTCAGATTTTTCTCTACAGAATTGTAAAGGAGAAAGACATAACATCATACAGTAAATATATTATTAAATGTGGTACTAGTCATCTGTCTTATTCAGATGTCTTTTGAATCAACAGAAAAAAGCATGTTACATTGTTAGGTTGATGGTTGACATATTTTTTGCATTAAAAAGTATTATTTTTGCAGCATATGGAAGAGAAGGTGTGAAAATGAACTTCATAGATCGGATCTTTATTGGTGAATTAACTAGCACAGTCATGTGTGAAGAATGTGCAAATGTAGGTGCTTTGGAATTCACTTCAACATGGAATAGATTACAGTCATATCATTTTTATTGTTCTCTTTCACATATAATCATCATTTATTTTTATTTGTGACAGATGACTATATAACAGTTTTTGAAAGTCTTTACAATATATCCTTTACTCCCAGAAAGGAAGCATGATTTATAATTTTTTTAGTGTTATTTTTCCTCTTGACAAACCTGTGAAGTTCTTTAACCAGTTTGAATGTCTTGGAATGTGTTAGCTACTTGTTTCAATTAAAATGAAAGAAGCTTCTGGGAAGGGAATAACTTTGTTATATAACCGTGCATTACCTTAAAAGGTAATTCTAATAGAAATGAGTTAACATACCAATGTAACAGGGAGACGTACCACATTTTATTTAAAGTTTACATTTATATTACTTGAAGTTTTTTTAAAGTAAGCTCATATTTGAGTTTAGTGATAATTTTTATTTTGAATGCCATCTGTACTTTAACAACAACTTAAAACACATAAAAGTTTTTATAGGTTTTCAAATGCTTAATAACAAATATTTCTGAAAGCATATGGTTTAGAGGGTAAAGTTTTGTTAGATTTTTATCATAAAATGGAGGGTCTTTATGTCCATTTTCCTATTTCAGATAATGGGGTACTTTTCTTTTCTCTCCAGTCATAAAATCAGGATATGTTACATCTCCTTCTAGCCTGTCATATTGAAGTACAGAATTTGTCAACATGATACTACTTAAATTTCTAGTATATTCAACATAGAAGTTGATTTCTCTCTCACAAACCAGAGAGTCTTTTTTCAACAGAATTATCCTTAAAAATCTATAAAATGCAGTTAAGCTCTCTGGCTTTTTTCTTCATGGCTTTTTTTTTCTTTTAAATGTTTATATTTGATTTATGTTGTGGCACAGTTTCACCAAAAATATGTTTATATCTTTAGTTAATCAGTTTTATTAAACACAGTTTATTTTGAAGTTACTTTAAATATTATAGGTTAGTCACATTGGCAATATTAAAAATTCAACTGGGTTGCATTTATTGAAGTGTTGAGGTATCTTGTTTTGATTAACAGTATGTGCTGCTCTACCCAATTAAATCACTGTTTGTTCCAGAGATGATTTTTAACTTGAAATTTGGTTTCTTTAAGACTTTACAAAACGACATTGTCTATATGAATTCTAACTGAATTTCTCCATATGTTTTATTTTTAAGATCTCCACAGTGAAAGATCCTTTTATTGATATTTCACTTCCTATTATAGAAGAAAGGGTAAGGAGAAAAAAAACTTACTAATGAGTCTTTGGTAGAGAGCATGTATTCATTCATATATTTAGATATTTGTTGGGGCACTTGGCTGGTCGTAGAGCGTGTGACCCTTGATCTTGGAGTTGTGACTTCAAGCCTCACATTGGTGTAGAGATTACTTAAAAATAAAATCTTTAAAAAAAAGAAGACATTTGTTGAGTATATTATCACATTATCTGAGAGTCATTTTTTATGGAGTTTGCATAGTGTATTTGATATTGAGGTTTGTGTATTTATGCATAAAGTATGATATATAGTTCTTGTCCTCAAAGAATTCAAACCAATATGTTTTATGTTTTGAGAATTAATGTTAAGGAAATTATCTCATTTCAAATGAGTTAGAAACTTTAAAAAATAGTCGATATCCAGAATTTATTTCCTAAAGAAGTTTTGTGTTATGCACATGGCATTTATATAGGTTTCAAAACCTGTACTTTTGGGAAGAATGAATAAATGTAGAAGTTTACAGGCAACAGGTAACAGTCAGTACAGTGACACTGTTACTATAGAAAATACTCATCAACCCAGAGCCACCAAGAACCAGTCTTCATCTAAAGATAAGGTAAGACTATATGCATTTGTGAGACATCTGTTTTTTAAAACTTTTCAATATGAATAGTTTAAAAAATATACAAAAGTAGAGAAGATAGTATAATAAACTTCGATGTACCTGTTTCCCAGATTCATAGTTCTCAAATCAAGGCTAATCATATTTTATCTGTATCCCACGTTCTCCCTCCTCCATCTCAAATTATTTTGAAATAATTCCCAATATAGTGTATACTTCAATGTATATATCTAAAAGGCAAACACTATTTTTGGGGCACCTGGGTGGCTCAGTCGGTGAGGCATCTGACTCTTGGTTTTGGTGCCAGTCATGATCTCTCAGTTTGTGAGTTCGAGCTCCACATTGGGCTCTGTGTTGGCAGTGCAGAGCCTGCTTGGGATTCTCTCTCTCCCTCTCTCTGCCCCTCCCCTGCTCACACTCTCTGTCTCAAAAATAAATAAATAAACTTTTAAAAAAAATTAAAAAAAGATAAATACTATTTTAAAGATGTAACTGCAGTACATTATCATATCAAAAAATATTAGTAACTTCTTAATAGTACCAACATGCAGAGATTATTTAAATGTCTGCAGTTGTCTCATAAAATACTTCATTTTTGATTTTGCTTTTTAAGGTGTGCTTGAATTTAGGATCTAAAAAAGACCTATAGATCACAGTTGATTGCCGTCTCTTAATCACATGATTCTTAGATCCCATTTCACATATAGATTCCCCCCTCCTTTCTTTCTTTTCTTTTTCTTTTTGTTTTTAGCAGTTTCTCACATTCCCACATTCAGTAGTAATTTGTTTTACTATTGCATTCCCATGGTGTTAACAAGTTCCACTGTGTCGTTTCCTCTCTAAGACATTTTGACCTAAAGGCCTAATTACGCTCAAGTTTTATTGTTTATTTAATTTTTGGCAGGAAAATAACTTAACTGGCAGTGTATACTTCCATCAAGAAGATGCACTTATAGTGTGCCTGCGTGGCTCAATTGGTTAAGCCTCCAACCTCAGCTCAGGTCATGATCTCACAGTTTGTGGGTTCAAGCCCTGCATCAGGCTCCGTGCTAACAGTTCAGAGCCTGGAGCCTGCTTTGGATTCTGTGTCTCCCTCTCTCTTTGCCCCTCCCCGACTTGTGCTCTGCCTCTCTCTCAAAAATGAATAAAAATTTAAAAAATTAAAAAATATATTTAAAAAACAAGATGCACATAATGTTTGAAGTCTAATCTTTGATGTCACCAGTCACCATTGTCTAGATCCGTTATTTTACCAGGAACATATCTGGTTGTTGAATTAGCTCATAAATATTTATTTATTTATTTATTTTTTAATGTTTTTTATTTATTTTTGAGATAGCGTGAGCAGGGGAGAGACAGAGAGAGTGGGGGATAGAGGATCTGAAGCAGGCTCCATGCTGACAGCAAAGAGCCTGATGTGGGACTTGAACTTACAAACCACGAGATCATGACTTGAGCCAAAGTTGGACACTTAACTGACCGAGCCACCCAGGTGCCCCTACTTCATAAAAATATAAAGAAATCAATCTAAATTTGCACTTCATTTTTTTAAAAAACTTTTTTTAATGCAATATGATTTGTACCATCTTGGGAATTGATATATTACCAGATTTAGCTTTTTCTCTTAGAAGCCTCTTGAAGTGGCAAGACTACAGACAGTATATAAAAAAGATGAAAAGTTTCATCTTTTGTTCTACAAGAGTCCTATTTCTTTCTCCACATATACCTACTATTGTGGGCTTCTTGTATAAAGATTAGTTTCTAAATTAGGACTATTTGTTATTGATCATAGTTCTTTTGATCATGTACCTTTTATTGATCATAGTTCAGATACATTTAGGAAATGAAATTCAGAGGTACTAGAAAAAGTATTTGATAATTGTGGAAGGTGTGAATAAGTTTTACTGGCATTCATTTTCAGTAAGGTCACAAGATTCTTTTCTCTGAAAATACTGTCAACTTACAGAATCAACTAGTACATGGCCGAAAATATGTAAGAAAAGTTTCATCTGGTGAAGATAGAGCTGCTATCATTTGCCGGAAAAATGAACACCCTGAGATGAGAGGGGATTCCTCAGTGTGTGCAGGCGTGGTAAATACCGAGGCAGCTTTGAACGAAAGCCCAACTGATGGCAGTGAAAAAGAAGCCAGTCGTTCTGAAAGTAGTGCTGATGCTGACAGTGAGGCTTCAGAATCGGAAAGTGCTTCACAGCAGGCTCTCCTGTTGAGGTCTAGAAGTGGATGCTGTGCGCAAGAAAATGGACCCCCTCCTCAACTGCTGCCCACCAAGGAGACTGATAGTGGTGATGAGGGAGTGGCTAAAGCTATTTCTGAACTGTATTTGAGCAGCACTGTAACTGGAGACAGGGATTTTAACAGAGAAAATAAGCCACCAAATGTTCCAGATAATTTATGTTCTTCAGAGGAGAAACATATGTTGTCTCCTAGTCCCCAAAATGCTTTTCAGACCCTTTCTCAGAGCTATATAACTACTTCTAAAGAATGCTCAATTCAGTCCTGTCTCTACCAGTTTACGTCTATGGAATTACTAATGGGGAATAACAAGCTTCTATGTGAGAATTGTACTGAAAAGAAACAGAAGTACCAAAAGGAAACCAGTTCTGCAGGTAAATATTTAGGCTTTTGTTTTTCTTAGTATTCCTGGGTTATCTGGTAGTCATGACTAGTATAGATCCCAAATAAAGGAACCTGAGAACCTTGTCTCCACACTTAAGTTGCTTGGAGCAGGGATTGTCTTTTTCATAATTGTACTTCAACACTGAAGATGGTGACTGGACTTCTAAATAGATTTTTGTTGAAATAAATTGAACAGAATTGCCTTGAAAATGCAAATCTATAGAATCTCATTTCAGGGGACTCGCTATCTGAAATCTTTACAGAAAAAAATTTCCCTAGAACTGACAGTTATATCACTAGTGAGATTAAGGATGAGATTAATTTGCTTCAAAAATCCCACCAATCTAGTATGGCGTCCTATCATAAGATATGAATTTGATGATCTTAAACAATTGTATGTTATAAAGCTAGCAATAGTAGCTGTGTTTAGTTGATCAGAGAAAAGTGGAAAAAGGGGACTTGTCAAATAAATTTTTAGTGCATCTCTAGCCATGATTAAATGGAAAGAATACTCTGATTCTTAGTGACTAGTCTGTTTCAAAATGCAGGTTTTATAATTAGTCAGGGTTGGTGAGGCCAACAGATCAGGAGACAGTTGTCACTGAAGAGATAGTTTGTTACGTACAGTTCTGAAGAGGAGTGAGCACACTAAGCCATGGCAAGGCAGGGCCTCAGGGGGAAGTAGCAGGGTTGTCAGGAGGCAGAAGGAGTGAGAGAAGACATGGACAAGAACCTTTACGGTCGTTCCCAGGGAGGGAATTGGAATCAGCAAGGTAGGATATATAGGCTTAGGATTGATTGACTAGTTTTCAGTAATTTCAGTGGGCTCTGGGGCATGGGGCTATCTCTACTTGTGTAATACTTGGCCCTGGTGTGATTAAGGCAGGTGGATAGTGTCTTAGAGTACCAGAGCCCAATAAAGGAGGTGGTTGGGTATGGGCTTTGGATTAGTTGGTTTGCATATGAAAGGCATTCTTCTATTGTATCTAGGAATTCACTAGCTAGCTCTGGCAGAAGCCTTCCCTCTGGTGTCAGCAAGGCCCTAGGTGTCAAAGAATAAAGACATGCTTAATACGCTAGTAATTAAAGAAATGTCTAGATGGGAGAAGGAAGAAGTACCATTTAACATTATTAGTCCACGTTAAATATGGTGTTGGCCATATTCAAATCCTATCCCAAGTACTGTCTAACAACCTCTTACTGAAATACCCTGTGGTTCCCATGATATGTGATCTCCTTTCTCTGCAATAAGTAATGACCCCCCCCCTTTTTTTTTCTTTTTTCTTTTTTTAACTCTAGATGAGTTTTTGGTGGTCTTTGGCTGGAGGGCATTGACATAAGTCACTACTAGTCTGTCTGCTTCTCAGCTCCCCAAATTTTGTTGCAAGTGTCACTTCTCCTATTTTTTGTCCTTGTAAGTGTGTGCTTTTTTAAAAAATCCCTTTTGTTTCACTGGAATTTTGGAAAGGAGTATAGAGATAAGTTGTAACCGGAGTCTAATTTCTTTTTTCATGTTTTTAAAAATATGGTATGATGCTTCTTTATAAATGTTTATGATATGGTACATGATGTATAAAATGGAATTTTATAAATAAATTATTATATTTTACACAGAAAAGAAAGCAGAAGGGGTTTATACTAATGCCAGGAAGCAATTTCTCATTTCTGCTGTTCCACCTATCCTAATTCTCCATCTTAAAAGATTCCATCAGGTAAAAGTCCCTTTAATAGTACTGTAGTAATTTTATCATGTGTTTTGCAAATTGCTATCAAGGATTAGAAGGTAATTAATTTAAAAAATTGTCATATGGCATTTACGTGCTTTTCAGCCATAATAGTTTATAGGACTTTTATGATTAAAACTGTTTAATTCATGATACTGCATTTGACAGTTTAGGTGGTAGGAAGCTAAGGGGTGTATGTGTGTTTTATGAGAGAGGAAGAGGGAGAGAATGAAAAATAGGATTTATTAAGAATCATTAGAAAGAGGGAAATATCAAATTACACATAGCTCTCTGAGCTCTCATGATCCCAGTGGTAGGGGTAAGTGGGCTGGGCATGGTTGGCTTGGACTAAATGCAAAAGGGGCTGCAAGGCAGGCCTCACCTCTGTAGGGACTCTACAGTAAGAGGGAGCCTGATTTTTTTAATGTGTCAGGTTTTTCTCTGTAAGTTTGATCTAATGCCTTGTCTTTTTTGCATTTGATATAATGATTTTAAGGTTTCTCTGAAAGAATAAATAAGTGACACTACGAAAACAGTTTAGAAAAAGTTAGAATGGGTAATTCATTTTATTATTATTATATTTTAGAATGGGTAGTCTTTTTTGATACCAGTAAAACTATAGTAATTACAGCAGTATGGTCAAAATTGTCAATAAATAAAAACATGAGTACTACTCAAAGCTTTTTTGTTATGGTAAAGGAAGAATCTCAGATCAGTTGGGAAGAGGGTGGATTTTTTTTTTTTTAAGTTTGTTTATTTCTAAGTGGCCTCTGTATCCAATGTGGGGCTCAAACTTACGACCCCAAGATTAAGAGTCACATGCTCTTCCAACTTAAGCTAGCCAGGCACCCTGGAGGGTGGATTATTCAATAAAGGATTTAGGGAAAATAGCTGAAATGAAAATATAAAGCTTCCCTCGATACATATTATCAATTATTATTTTCAAAGAAGTATTTAACTGTATGAAGTAAATCACCAAAAGACTAGAAGAAAACTTAAATGAATATTAACCTTGTTGGACTTAGAAGTATAAAATCCATGAAAAACATCTCAAGAAAAAAGATTAGGAGCTTTGATTATATATCTGTAACATTTCAGGTGGTCCACAGGTAGGCAGGAAGAGATTTTTCTCTACACCCCCATCTATATCCACCGAAAGATTAAATTCTTAATTTTCTATAGCCAGGATTGTAGAAACTCAGTGGAAGTGAAAATGGCCATGGAGAGCACAAGCAGATGTATCATGTCTTATTGTACCAGAATGCCTAGTGAAGGGTATATATGTGCAGTTACTCTGTGTGAGCAAGATAGGCGCATGTCAGATCTTAATTTTTTTAATGTTTTATTTATTTCTGAGAGAGAGAGAGACAGCATGAGCAGGGGAGGGTCAGAGAGACAAGGAGACACAGAATCTGAAGCAGGCTCCAGGCTCTGAGCTAACTGTCAGCACAGAACCCGACGTGGGGCTCAAACCCACGAACCGTGAGATCATGACCTGAGCCAAAGTCGAATGCTTAACTGACTGAGCCACCCAGGCTCCCCAACAGGTCAGATCTTAGACCCTAATTTCATGATGTACCACAGTTATTTTCTATTTGGTGCTTTCATCTCAATTTAGGAACTTACAGAAAGAATTCATGCCCTCAAAGGGAAATATTTCTGGACTAGTCCAGTTTACATAGCTATTTAAAAAAAACTAACTTCTAGAATTCCTCTTTTGGTTTTATTAACAAACAGTAATGTAGATGAATTAAGTTTGTCGCATTAAAACTTGTTTTTTTTTTTTTTTTGGTCTTTTTAAGGCTGGCTTAAGTCTTCGAAAAGTAAACAGACATGTCGATTTTCCACTTATTCTTGATTTAGCACCATTCTGTTCTGCTACTTGTAAGGTATAGTATGTTATTAAGATGTTTAATTGACTTGTGAATAATATGCTTAAAAGTATTAGGCCATTCTTTACTCCTTCCCTTCCTTCCCTTCCCTTTTTCCTTCCAATAAATTTCTCTGAAAGAGAATTTTATACTTAGTGACATTTAAACGTGGAACGTTTAAAACACCAAATATGACTTTTGTCCTTTGGGAGACAGAATTAGGGGAAATTGAGAAGATGTATAAACCACGAGGCATGGTAGTCAGGAAGTTCCATGCTGCTTGTAAGTGCTACTGGGAGCAGATAGTTGCTGAGAGAAGCAGGCAAATTTTGTGCCTTCTCCTGTTCCTTGCGAATGGTATGCTTTAACTGACAATAGTTTTAGCATTTGTAGAGTTCTTTATCTTTTGTGAGTCAGTATACTAGTGCATTGTTTTTCATGGCGTTTCATGTACACTATTGAAAATAGTGTACTTGTCAGCTTAGTATGATATTTTAAAATTTATAATACTTTAGGGGTGCCTGGGTGGCTCAGTCGGTTAAGCATCCAACTTCAGCTGAGGTCATGATCTTGTGATTTGTGGGTTCAAGCCCCGCGTCAGGCTCTGTGCTGACAGCTCAGAGCCTGGTCCCTGGTTTGGATTCTGTGTCTCCCTCTCTGGGCCCCTCTCCTGCTCTCTCTCTCTCTCTCTCTCTCTCTCTCTCTCTCAAAAATAAACATTAAACAGTTTTTTTTTGAAAATTGATAATACTTTAATAATTTGGTAGAGAAAGCAGACTGGGTTTCAATTGCTTGTACTCCTATGTAAGCACTGTGTAGGTGAAATTGATGATTTTGTCTTCCTTAAGGGAACCAAACGTTAAGGGGTAACATATTGTTCTGTTCATGATTCCTGGTTAGCAGTCTAGGTTTGGTAGTATGTGATAGAATGTTCATTGGACTTAATATTTTCAACATATTGATTAATCAAAACAAAAATATCTTAAAAGCAGTTATTCACTGAATCCTGTTTATCTGTCAATTATTAACACTCAGTACTCATAGAATTTGATTATGTAGTAGACAAAATAAAATTTAACAAACTTTGTAATAAATTTATAAAAACACATTTTTAAAGGTATCTATTGTGGAAAATTTCCAACATACACAAAAGTAGAACCATACAATGAACCTATACTGCACCCATCACCTAACTAAAACCTTAGATACATGGCCAGTCCTACCATATCCATATACTTATCTACTACTTCCTATATTATTTAGAAGCAAATATCAGACAGTATTTCATTCATACATATTTTACCATATATCTTTAAAATATAAGAATCACTCCCTCCCCTTTTTTAAAAACATAAGCACAATACCACTCTCACACTAAAACAAAATTAACACTAATTCTTTCACATCATCTAGTGTATATATTTCTAATTGTCCCATAAATGAAATTTTTGAAATGAACTAGTATCCAAGTAAGAGTGACACATTATGATTGGATAATGTCTTTTAGTCTCCGTGTCTCTTTTTTAAGTTTTATTTATGTAAGTAATCTCTACACAACCAATGTGGGGCTCATACTCACAACCTCAAGATCAGGCGTCTTTTAGTCATCCAATTGAACCAGCCAGATGCCCCACTTTTCGTGTCTTTTTTAAATTTTATTTATTTATTTAAAGTTGATTTGTTTATTTTGAGAGAGAGCAGAAGAGGGACAGAGAGAGAGGGAGAGAATCCCCAGCAGACCCGATGCTGTCAGCAAGGAGCCTGACACAGGGTGGATCTCATGACTGTGAGATCATGACCTGAGGTGAAATCAAGAGTCTAATGCTTAACTGACTGAGCCATCCAGGCACCCTAGTTAGTCTCTTTTAATATGTAGTTTCTCTCTCCCCTTCTCTCCCACCTGGCAATTTATTTTTTATTCTTTTTAATTTTTTTTAATGTTTGTTTATTTTTGAGAGAGAGGCAGAGTACAAGTGGGAGAGGAGCAGAGAGAGAGGGAGACACAGAATTTGAAGCAGGCTCCAGGCTCTGAGCAGTCAGCACAGAGCCCTACATGGGGCTGGAACTCACAAACCGTGAGGTCATGACCTGAGCTGAAGTCGGATATTTAACTAATTGAGCCACCCAAGGGCCCTGCAATTTACTTTTTGAAGAAACTGAGTCATCTTTCTGGTAGTTTCGCTAGTTTAGATTTAGATTTTTCCTTCTCTGTCCTGTTTATTTCCTACAAATAGATAGTTTGGATCTTAACAGGCTTGAACAGATTCACGTTTGCTCTTTTTTCCCCACTGCTAAGGCTGTCTTATAGGGAGTGTTTTGTTTTTTTCATCAGGTGGCAAATAATGCCAGTTATCTGTCTATCTTTCTGTGATGTTAACAACCAGTTATGCTCAAATGTTAGATCCATGAGTTCATTAAGAATTACAGAATGGTAATATTTTAATATGTCATTTCTTCTTCACTTATTAGCTAGACCACTTCTATACAAAGAGAAATCTTTTAAATCTCTTTAGTTATCTTATAATATCGTTCTTATAGAAAAGGCTGGATAAATGTTCAATTCTTTCCCTGCTCCCCTTTCAAACCAGTTTTCAGAATAATGGATTAATTCACTAGCCTCCTCAAATTGTCATCAATTAATTTATCACTGTTAATTCATGGATTTAAGCACATTAGATATGTTTCAACTTACTACACTTTTCTTTTTATTCCTGGCCTAATATATTGGCTTAATTGATCCATAGTTGGCTTACTGAAAGTCACTTTAAGTTGACTCCTCTTTTGACGTGACTCTGGTGGTTTCTCTGTAAATGATTATGCTGCCACTGGAATATATTATTATTCATTCGTTTAATTTTTAAATTTTCATTTTAGGAATTGCTTTTAAATTTAAACTTAAATTTAAAAAAATTTTAAAAATAATTACATAAAATACTTACATAATTCCAAAGTCAAATGCATGTATAAAACAAGGTAAATTCAAACAAGTATAGCTTTTCTCCATGTCCATTCTACTTGTTTCTCCCCTCTCTTTATAGATAACCACTAAAAAATTATTTATTTCCCTGTAATTTTTAAAAATATAAGCAGATAAGTTTAAATAATCACACTTTGGGGTGCCTGGGTGGCTCAGTCAGTTGAACGTCCTACTCCGGCTCAGGTCATGATCTCACAGTTTGTGGGTTTGAGCCCCACGTTAGGCTCTGTGCTGACAGCTAGCTCAGAGCCTGGAGCCTGTCTTTGGATTCTCTGTCTCCCTGTCTCTCTGACCCACCCCTGCTCATGCTTTCTCTCTCTCTCAGAATAAATAAAAAATATTAAAAACACACACAAATAAATTATCACAGCTTACAATATGTATTCTTTTTTCTACCTTATTCTTCCTTTTTAAATGAATATTCCCAAATAGTCTGGGATCTAGCTTTAATGTTTATTTTTGAGAGAGAGAGACAGAGCATGAGCAGGGAAGGGGCAGAGAGAGAGAGAGAGACAGACAGGCAGACAGAATCTGAAGAAGGCTCCAGGCTCTGAGCGGTCAGTACAGAGCCCATTGTGGGGCTCAAACTCACAAACTGTGAGATCATGACCTGACCAAAAGTCAGACACTTAATTGAGGGAGCCACCCAGGCGCCCTTTTCTACCTTATTAACATATCCTGGAGATTATTTCATAGGAGTTTTTTGAGATAGTCTGCACTGCATTTTTCTAGCAACATAACACTCCATTCTATCAATGCATCATAATTTATTCAACCAGTCCCCAGTTTAATGGGGCACCATTTATTTGGGTTCATTCTAGTTTATTTTTATTTTTATTTCTTTAAGTCTATTTATTTAAGAGAGAGAGAGAGCGCAAAGGGAGGGGCAGAAAGAGAGGAGAGAGAGAATCCCAAGCAGGCTCCACACTGTTAGTGAACCCGAGGCCAGGCTCTATCTCACTAACCATGAGATCATGACCAGAGACAAAATCAAAAGCTTGACTGTTAACCGACTGAGCCACCCAGGGGTCCCTCCAGTTTATTTTTAATTGAAATGTAGTTGACATACAATATTATATTATTTTCAGGTATATAATTCATTGATTCAGCTTTATAAAGTGATCACGAGAAATCTAGCTACCATCTGTCACCAAAGTTGTTACTGTATTTTTAACTATATTCCCTGTACCATACATTATATCTCTATGTCTCCAGGTTTTTTTTCTTTTTAAAAGACAGATATCTTTTTAGAGAGTGAGTGAGCGAGCAGGGGAGAGGGGCAGAAGGAGAGAGAGAATCCTAAGCAGGCTCCATGCTGATGTAGCATGGAGCCTGACATGGGGCTTGATCTCAAAGCCATGAGATCATGACCTGAGCTGAAATCAAGTTGGATGCTTAACCAACTGAGCCATCCAGATGCCCTTCCAGTTTTTTAATATTACAAATATTCCTGCAGTAAATAGTCAAAATAATGATTAATCAATAGCATATCTTTTTTATGTTTTACTCATGTGCTTGTGAGATAGAATCCTGTATGAGGATTTATAAATCCAAGAGTAATGCCTGTGTAATTTAGCTAGATTACATGAAATACATCTACATAGAGGTTGTACCCCTTTGCGTTCCACATGCAACATGTATGAGAACTCTTTTCCTCGTGGTCTAGCCAGGAGAGATCATTGTCATGCTTCTGCATTTTGCCAGTCTAATACAGGTGGAAACATGTCTCATTGTAGTTTTAACAATGTGTTTTTCTTAGTTGAAGCAGGACATATGTTTGACTTAATTTTCCTTATTATAATATTGGACTAAATATTACTAATTTCAGTTTTTTCTTTGTCTAAAAGAATGTAAATGTGGGAGATAAGGTTCTCTATGGTCTGTATGGCATAGTGGAACATAGTGGCTCAATGAGAGGAGGTCATTACACAGCTTACGTGAAAGTGAGAGCGCCCTCCAGGAAATTATTGGAGCACATCACTGGAAAGAAAAATGTACCTGGTATGTCATCGTATGTTTATGTTATTCTTAAAAACGAATTTATTGTTCCTTTTCTGGAAGAGGCAAACTGTTCCTTGGATATACCTCAAGTGGATTCACTTTGTTAAAATTAAGTGAGAAATACCTTTAAGATACTTAGATAATCCTAGAGCACCTTAAATATCCTAAGACTGTATGCTTCTTCAAGGTGTTAAGTCATTGCATATAGCAGTGGAGTGGCATTTTATTTAACACAATACAACGCTGAAAGATTTTGAAGACCTACCAGGTCCTCAGAATACAGTTGGGGCTGAAAATTTGTAGACTTTGCCTATGGATTAGCAAACTATCTTTTTTTTTTTTTTTTTTTTTTAACATTTATTCATTCTTGAGAGACAGGAACCTCGTGGGTGAGGGAGAAGCAGAGAGAGAAGAAGACACAGAATCCGAAGCAGGCTCCAGGCTCTGAGCTGTCAGCACAGAGCCTGATGTGGGGTTCAAACTCACTGACCGTGAGATTATGACCTGAGCCAAAGTCAGATGCTTAATGGACAGAACCACCCAGGCGCCCCTACAAACTATCTTTTTTTTTCCTTTCTATTTTCAGTGAAAATGATTCTTTTCTTTGAGCAAATAAATATTTAAGAGTTTAATATTTCACTGGATATTTGAAGTGGAGTGACACTAATATTAATGCTTTGAAAGTTCATTTTGGAAAATGTTTAACACAAGAAGAAACATACAAAATAAGATCTAGCATTAGAGAAATACAGTGTGTATGATGAATGTGTTGTTGTTTATAATGTAGAGCAAGACCATACTTATTGCAAAATTATACTTTTTTGTTTTGTTAGATTGGAAAGAACCTGGCGGTGAATCAGCAGACCATTGGGTCTATGTTAGTGACACTTACGTGCAAGTGGTTCCAGAATCCAGAGCACTTGGTGCACAAGCCTACCTTCTTTTTTATGAAAGAATATTATAATTATTTGTTAATAATTAATGGTAATGATTATTTAGATTGCTTTTGTTTAAATGTTTCAATGATAACATAATATGCAATGTGCCTTTGTAGTCTTTTCTGTAGAAATAGCATGTCCCTCAAATACCCTTGACAATTTTTACCATTTTTGGTGAATCCTTTTAAAGTAAATTAAATTTATTCAGTGCTTTCAAATTTACATTCTTAAAATAAATGTGAACACATGTTTTTTAAAAAGCATTTGTCCTGGGAAAAAACCCAGGATTTGCAGTAGTAGAGGAAACCCCCTTATAGTATGGCTTATTATTATGAGAATTCAGAAATGATGCTGGCCAATCAAATTGTTCCTTAAAACAGTGTTTACCAAATGTGAGTCACGTACCACTTTCCTGATTTCATATGTATGTACTGTTTACTGATTATTTTTTTTAGCTTTACATTTTTAAACATAGCCTTGCTTTGAGCATATTCCACATTTTATGTGCTAGTTATATTTTTTCTAATAAACATGAAAATAAATATATAACTACTGAAGAAAAATTGTTCATTCATGTAGCACTCCACAGAAAATCACCTCAGGGCTGTCCAGTGGTGTATGTATACTATACCGCTGTGTGGGAAACATTGCTATAATGTACACTTACACAGTAGGCATAGTGACCTCTTCATATTTTATGTGATTCAATCATTTAAAGATCCCACTGTAGCTTCAGTAATAGGGGTTTACAAATAATTTATTGATTAACTCATTGTTTTGAGGTTTTGAGAACTAAGAAAAGATTGAAATATATCAACATATTATTTGAAGCCTATTCATGATGGAGTTGAGGAAAATTTGCATATAATTAGCCAAGGTGAAAATATAATTGTTGATAATTGCATCCTGCAGAATTGTAAATGGAATTTTTTAAAATGTTTTTTATTTATTTCTGAGAGAGAGAGAGAGACAGCGGTTCAGAGAGAGGGAGACATAGAATCCGAAATAGTCTCCAGGCTCTGAGCTAGCTGTCAGCACAGAGCCCGATGTGGGGCTCAAACCCACGAGCCACAAGATCATGACCTGAGCTGAAGTCGGATGTTTAACTGACTAAGCCACCCAGGTGCCCCGGTAAATGGAAGTTTTTAATCCATATAGGATCATTGGTTACTTTTGAAATATAAATTTGTAAATGATGGAGAATTATATTCTTATTTTACTTGACAGGGGAATATAGTACATTTTCTAGTTTTTTAGGTCACTAAGTATTAATCATGGTTTTGGGTTTGAGATCACTTTTCTTTGTCTTCAGCAAGTATCATTAATAAGTTCAAGTGAGGTTAGCTTGTATTTTAATGGGTTATAAATTGGCACTTCAGATTTTAAGTAAATAATAACAAAAATGTGGTAGTTTACCACCCACCCTCCCGAATACAAATTATAAAATTGTCAAAACTTGGCATGAAAATATTACTATTACTTAGACATAAAATTGTAAAAAGTAATGGCCACTTGAGTCTGATATTACTGAATCAAAATATATAACTGCATGGTTCAAGCAACCTAATTATTAGTGCCAACAGATCATACTACAGGCAGCTACTGGATAAGTGCCTAGTTCTAGTTCATTCTCCTCTTGGGAAGGAAGGATAGGAATAGTGGCTATAGGTAATGTATGGAAATATTTAACCAAACCTCTGACACTTCTTAATATTTAGGTATATATAACATTGTCAAGTTTACTGGTGCTGCCTTTTGATATGTAGATGAATGGAACTGTGATTAGAGTTAAAGATGGTAATAATATACAAAAGTCAGAGCTTAAAAATATCATTTTACAAATTCTATTTTTTAGGTATTGAAATTTCAGTAGTAGTATTTTCTTGATTTTTAACTTGAAATGGTAGAGAAATATATCTTTATAAATTAATCTGCAAACTCAGGTTGTGTCCAGTAAAAATCAGTTTATCCTGTTTAAATTAAGCGGTGTTCTGTGTTTAATTGTAATCAATTAACATTGACGTTTTCAGTACCAGAGCAGTGATTTTTTTTTTTTTGTGAAAAATATGTGTTAAATCTCTATTCAATTTAGCCATATTGGTAATGACAATTCCTATCCCTTTCCCCAAAAGTAAAGATACCATTATGAGGCTTATATTTTTCATTGAGTGGTCACTTGCTTCTTGTTTCATTGATAGAGGGATGGACAAGAGAAAAGGAAAGAGAGATGGAAAGGAAGAAAGAAGGATAGGAAAAAAACAAGTGCGTTCTTTTCTGTTGCCTGTTGGCTTCCTCCCTTACACAGCTAAGTCAGAGATGGTAAATGATAGGCAAGGGCAAGAATCAGGGAGAGTGCCTCATCTTCTTTTCATTAATAGGATGCCAGGAAATGTACCAGTGCTGTATTTATCAAAGAGAAGATCTATCGACCTTTATTCTGATTACCAGTCACGACTTTTCACTGAAGTACATTGTAGCTTCAGAATATGACCTGGGTACTCAAGTGATATGGTAGTTTTGATCCTTAACTTCACATTTAATCATTGAGTATGTATTTTTTGAACACCTGCTATGGCTCAGGCACTGTGCTGACACTATTTTTTTTTTTTTCCTGAGAGAGAGAGAGACAGCGTGAGCAGGGGAGGGTCAGAGAGAGAGGGAGTCACAGACTGAAATAGGCTCCAGGCTCTGAGCTGGCAGTCAGCACAGAGCCCGACGCGGGGCTCGAACCCACGAACCGTGAGATCATGACCTAAGTGAAAGTCGGGCGCTTAACCGACTAAGCCACCCAGGCGCCCCTGTGCTGACACTATTTTAACATGTCTTAAAATGGAGAGACCTCTATATGTTATAGACATTATTCCAGAAGTAACATGCAAAGAAAATACTTTATTTTCATTTCATGGTAAAAGAGCTAAGTCTGAAATAGATTTTTTTTATGGTCTAGAGTTTATGAATGTTTTTCTAGGTCCGCTGGTAATGGAATAAATTTAATTTTGATACCTAAGAATTTCCTAAAGATAGATTTGTAATAGAGAAAGTATGTTAAGTTACACATGGGCCTACATGTTTATTCTGAACATTTTGAAAGCACATTTGCAGGGTTACTATATTGTAAAGCTACTATAATAACACTTTCTAGATGACCTCAGGACATCATACAAATAAGTGAGAAATGTTTACAGATTCTCAAGACAACTACCATAGTGTTTGGCCAAATGAGTATAAGTAAGTAAAACATAAATTTCATTAGATCTATTTAGAACTGGTGTACAGGGTATGTCTAACCCCAGTTTCCCCTGGTTTTTCCTGTTTAAAATGATAACATTTTGATTATATGCCAATTATATGAATATTTTTGACATAACCAATTATGTGTCTATATTTAAGATTTTGTTATTTAATGTTTTTTTAAAACAGATGTGAAAAACCACCTTTTTGGGTGGCAGGGAGAGTGGTTGTTGGTGTCAGTCCTAAGAGGAGTTGATTCCTGTTTTCTTATTTAAATGTTCCAACAGAGCTATTTAACCAAATATGGAAGCTCTTAGCTCGCATGTGTGATGAGTTTAGCCAGTAATTTTATACAATAGCTGAATAAAATTTCCTGAAGATTAAGCTGTAGACTGTATCACCTTCATCTAATTTTTATAGGACAAAACAACATTCTGCCTACATTTTCTAAATTCATCTTCATTACTTATCTGCATGTTACCTGATCAAATAAGCCTAGACTGTATACATTATGTGCAATTAAATTGAGCCTTTATATATGTTATCTAGTGCATTAAGAAAGACTATTTTTAGATATTTAAAATATTTTGGTTCATGTAGAAATCATCAACTCAAATTTGTTTAAAAAAGATAGATGCCTATATTTTTAATTTTGAGTAATGCTGGTTATACAGCTTTCCTACTGTTTTATCTTTACTTTTTTTTGCAGTGTTTTTAGAAAATAACTATGTAACTTATTGAGCATTATTTTGATGTTACTGTATAAAAATGCATAATAAACATTAAATTCTTTGTTTCAGAATTGGTCCTGGAGTTTTTGCAGTGCACATTATTGATAATATTGTATTTATCAACTGTTTATTTGCTAGCTTAGCTATATTCAAAATATCCTTTGCATTTTAGAAATTCATTATTTCAGAACAAAATCTTATAGGTCACTTTCTTTGAAATTTCAATATTTACCAAGGGTGGGTCTTGATCCTTTCACATATTTGTCAAAATGTTTGGATCATTTAGACAGGACAATTTATTAGGATATATTTTGACTGCCTATTTGAATTTAAACTTTTTTGGTTCATGAAACTCTGAGATTATGATGAAAGCTATAGACCATCTTTCATTTGGTCAATAATTTGATTAAGTACTTTTTGAATACCTTCTGTGGTACACATTTGGAAATACAGCACTGAACACAAGAGACAGAAATCTAAGAAGTAAGGAAATAGACATTTAAAAAAAACGTTTATTTTGAGGGGGTAGGGGGAGAGGGTCAGAGAGAGAGAATCCCAAGCAGCCCCTGCACTTTCAGCACAGAGCCCAATGGGGCTCACTCCCACAACCACGAGACCATGATCTGAGCCAAAATCAAGAGTTGATTGCTAAACTGACTGAGCCACCCAGGCACCCCAGGAAGTAAAGAGTAAAGAAAAGATACATCAAATGATCAATGACTTGGAGAAAAATTAAGCAACATTACCTACAGAGTCATGGGAATTAAGGTCCAGGGATGAAAGATGTTCTAGGGATAAAACGTATTATGATATTAGTCCTAATAGTCCCAAAAGAAAGCTCTTAGTTGGGGGAGAAGGAAGGTTTTAATTCTGGGACCTCTCATCATTCTTGCTAATGGCAGTGTAGGGGCTGGGAAGGGAAATCTTGACAGTTACATTATCTCAGAAAAATATATGCTACAGATTTTTGTATGTCATTTCAGAGGTTCATGGACCTCCCTGAAGCTGTTTTCATACATTTTTAAAGTTTCACTCAAGCAGAACTATCCAAAATGTTTGCATTCTGATATGTATTAGGATAGTCTAGGTTTTAAAACTGCAGTGACAAATAACTCCACGTCCCAATGGCTTAACACAACAAAAGTTTATTTCTTCCTCACCCAAAGTCCTCCATGAATCTGGGCAGTCTGCACAGGCAACTATTTTCCAACTGGTGACTTTAAAATTTTTTTTAAATGTTTATTTCTGAGAGAGAGAGAGACAGAGTATAGCAGGGGAGGGGCAGAAGGAGACACACAGGATGAGAGAAGGAGACACAGAAGCAGGCTCCAGGCTCTGAGTTGTCAGCACAGAGCCTAATGTGGGCCTCAAACTCACAAGCCATGAGATTATGACCTGAGCTGAAATCAGGTTAACCAACTGAGCCACCCAGGTGCCCCTCCAACTGGTGATTTTGTAATCCAGGCTTTTATCTTGTGGTTCTATCATTTTAACACCAGATCTCTCACTCTAGCAGGGGAAGAGAACATTAAAATTTTTGCACCAGCAGTTAAATTTATCTTGGATGTGTTACTCACAACCCATAAG